TGGAAAAATTTGCTCGTTTCGCAGCCCGAGCCACGAGTTGTTCAAATAATGGAGCCTATGAAAGCCAAATGAAGTTTTGTGAAAAATTTTCACGGATCTTTCTCTTGTCAAATATTTGAGGGAACTATTAATGAAACTCTACGGGCGAGTTCGAAGTTAAAATCATCGAATCGTTGCGCGGAAAATTGCATGCGAAATGTCCTCGTCGAATTGTTAAGAAACGAACTTGGTGCTCATTGCGAGTGAATTTCCAGCGATTGGCCTCGCGAGTCGTGTACCGACGAGAAACGTTTGCGCTCGACGGTGTTCCAACAAATGAAAAATAAACGTAGCTTTGTCGTCGACGGGCAAATATTTGTCACTGTTTCGATACGAGACTGTGTGAAAGAAGCACAGAATGAATTCAATTTGAATACTGAATTATCGCGACTGACAGGGATCGAATACACCCGCCACTACCAAAGGAACTACGCGAACAATCTCTATTGCGAGACTGGAAATTTCTGTTTTTTTTTTTCTTTTTCCTGAAAACACGCGTCGTTGTTTCAAGATTTTAATTTTCATCAATCAATCTCTTTTTCTTCGACATACGAGCGGTCAATCTCGTCAATGAGGCATTTGAAAAAGCTTACAAATAATATACGCTGTAATATATGTATCTTGCATCTCGTGGATTTGGTCGCGATGATCATCCTTGCGCTGGCAACTGGTTTGCAGACCATAACGAGTGACCGTATACAATAATTACTCGATAGAAATTATTAAAGAGTAATAAACTTATCATTTGTTTTGCCTGGGTTACATTTAAATATACTTAAAACTGAGAAAATGTTGCATTTTGGCAACTGGTTTGCGGACCATAACGAGTGACCGAGCCGTGTACAATAATTCGTCGCTTTCTTTTTATTTTGAACTCGTCCGTACGATATCACTCGATAGAAATTATTAAGAAGTAATAAACTTATCATTTGTTCTGCCTGATTACATTTAAATATACTTAAAACTGAGAAAATGTTGCAAATTGGGACAAAATATTCTCGGGATGCGTGGCACGTCATTCAAGCGCAATCTTTGTATGTGATTAATATAATAAATCTCGCCACGCATCCCTTTGTTGAATTTCAAAACGAGTACGCGGAAACTGCCTCGTGATAATTCGATTCGAAATAAATTTAATTAACGCGCGATCACGAGCGAAGGGAATGAGTATGCAAATCCTCCACTCGGAAACTCGTTTCTCGTCCTTCTTTTCTATCTTACTTCTCAGCTCGGATTTTATACCGATGCCCCTGTAATTCCTTTTACATTTTTCCAAAGCTTTATCGTGCCTCATCGCCGAGTCTCCGACGAAGAGCGAACTCGTTGCTTTGTTGAAACTTTCTCCTTGATCCCGAATCTACTTGTTTATCCAGGAAAATGGGAGGGAAAAATCTGCGTACCGGTTTATGAATGAGAACGAACTGCAAAAACCGAGTTGGTCGTTCACAAACGATTTCTGATTAACACGCGTTCCTTTCTACGCTGTAGCTATAGATAACGTTGTTTAACTTTACAGGAAACATGGTATATTTAATTACAGAGATTTTTTTAAAGAAATTAAACGCAAACACGAGCAACAAACGAGATATTAAAATTAAACCGCGAATCGATTGTAAATGAAAGCACGATGCAATACTCGCTCGGACACTTTCGATCTCATATATATAATGGATTCATTGATTTTTTAATCGCCTCTGGTAAATAATACAGCGAACGCGAAATGATTTTAAATAATTGATCGACCGCTCTCATAAATATTCCATCGCATTTATTATTCATCCGCTGCGTAATTGTCACCGTTAATTACGGGAATGAATCAGGTTACTTCGACCCGATGGAGAAATACGGTATCAAGTTCTGAAATACGAGTATTTTTTTTTTTTTTTCTCCTTTTGGAAAATGGCCGGATCGAATTTTGGTATATTTTTAAAAAAATTGTTCAACTACCAGTGTGTTGCAGAGAAAGGTTTAATTATACCCGAGCTCGATACCCGGCACCGACTAACCCCCAACTTTCGCACGTTAATTATAAATTGGCTCCCGAGCATACGTACATGTACGTGCTTGTATCTCGCAGTCAGAAACTTTTAATTCGACCGAGCGGTGTATTATCAGCCAACGATGACTATCTCGATTATTTACGACGGTTTATCACCGACGTAATGGCGGCACGCACGATAAAAGTTATTGTAGACCTTTCCGACTGTAAATAATTAACAAAGCGCCGACGTAATTAAAATTTATAGTACCCAATTGCTGTCTTTTGTCCTATTTTCTTTTTTTCATAAAATATTTAGTTAAGGAACAAGGCTAAATATTTACGGTAAACTCACACGTGAATCTCCATTATGAGATTCATATTTGCTTTTAACATTTTATCATTTACTGCGCGTACCGTTATGGAAATTTGTTGTTTAAAACAAAAAAAAAAACACAGGTTAAATAAGGTTTCCTGTTGGAAGAATCTCCTTGACGAGTGAAGTAATTCGCAGAATGTTTCTTCACTGTAAAAGCTCGTCTAACGATTTGAATAAAAGTCAATTTGCAAGACGCAGCGTTCATTCGGTAATCTCAATTCCTTTACCGTTATCACCGACTATATATCTCATTTACAGAAACCTTCGAAGTTATGAAAGTTAAGTCACGAGATATCTCGTTCACAGTAACCCAACTTTTAGTAATTAACAGAAATTAATAATTAATCTGCTGGTAGAAAAATTAATCTCTGCCGTCAATTAATAATTTGACGATCTCAATTAAATGATAAGAATAAGAAGTCCGCATAAATCAGCAGATTTCGAACGTTTATATTACATTACCTTCCGATATTCACTCGTTTCCTGCATTCCCGGGTGCGGAATTATTCCCGCGCAGCGTAATATTACGTCCACAAGTGGTAACTCGCAGGGCGATAATATTACAGGGCGAAATAGTCGAACGCCGAACGAGAACAATTAATAAATAACCGAATTTCCGCGCAAACGTGGACGTGTAATTCAATCTCCATTGTCTGCCTGGAAGATGAAACAACGAGAAATGGAAACTTCGGTGGCCAGCTATTGTTGCCGCGGCGCTAGTTATCTATCGAGGCCAATTTCCTGGACATACAAACTGTCAAGTTGTATTACCGAGAGATACCCTACGACGCAGAAATGCCAATGTGATTTCACGCGTTTGTGTTCCCCGATGAAACATAAACTCCAAACTGTGTATCGCCCCGAGAATCGATATTTCAATTGGTTTTTCATTTTCTTTCTTTCTTTTTTTTTTTTCTTTTTTTTTTTTGTGGAAATTATCTATTGATTAAGAAACTCATCATGACGACGTGTAGTTACATTTTAATTGTTCCTCTTTCCATTCAACGCTACAGGCGATTAGGAAAATATTCGACTCGAAAGCAGATTTCAAACGAAACTTATGCTCGTTTATCACGATGACTGTTTTTAATGGCTGTTCATAAATTATCTTTCCGAAGAAAGTACTCGGAAACAAAAGTAACGATTCTCGCGGAGGACGCGGATAAATCAAGGCTCAGGCTTCCGTTTAAAACGGATTCCGAAGGAATTTTTTGTTCTGTTAGAGAAGGCACGAGAAGCCTGGCACGATTAATGGATTCGACGATTAATGGACACGTTTGATATCTGACGTGTGCCGCGTAACTTTAATTAAACTTTAATTTATTTGCAAAGTGTTGATTTAAAAATTGCCTAAAAAATTACTTTAAAAAATTAATGGATTGGTCGTGGAGGTGCTATTGCATGGCCTGCTCGTTCTCCGGATTTGAATCCATTAGATTTTCATTTGTGGGGACATTTAAAATCTATTGTATACGNAATTCGAGAAACACCAGGAATGATAGAGAGAGTAACCAGATGAATGACAAGACGCGTGCAGGCTTGTCTTCAAATGCAACGTGGTCATTTCGCGCATCTTTTCTAAAAATAGTTAAAACAGAAAATTCATTGTATCTCATAAACGAAGACAGATAGGAAATATATTTATATGACTTTTTTCATTATTTTTAGGCGTACAATCAGCTCCCGAAGTGGGCTCCCACAAGTTACGAAACACCCTGTATATTCGCGACATTTCGCTCATTGGCCAATATGAAAAGAATCTATTTTCCCACGATTCGTACGCTTTCCAGGATATTTGCAACAACGCGTATAATTAATTCGACGAGAACGTGCCTCGATAGAGATCTCTCGAATAAAAATCTTACGTCACCGTTGCGTTCGTACGAAGACCGTATACGCGTGTCCGCATTTACAACCGGAAGAAGAGAGAGAGAGAAGCATCTGATTATCATAATTCCATTTAATTAAGCAATTAAATGACCACTGTCACAGCTGTCATTAAGCTGTCATTGATTCATACTCCTCGATCACGGTTTGGAACATTCACGCAAGAAAGAATCGCCGATATTTCTTACGTTCGATTGTTGATAATAATTGCACGAGTTGGCCTTGCTTTGGATATCACTCCATACAACTCTGGATCATTCAGACGATAACAAGCGTAATAATCATTTATCTATTAAAGAAGTTGTTAAGAATGCAATTACTGAAAAACTTCACAAACGAATTATCATAATCTTTTGATTGCAGGCGAAGCGTGTTATCGTACGTTGCACAAACACTGCTCGCGGTGTACACGCTTACGTGTCGTTACAAATACAAACTTCTATTTAGTAGGCTCAGCGTGTCAACTTGTCAATATTTAACAAGAGGCATAATTCGACGAAAGACAATTCGTAAATTGTAAATTGGAAAAAAGGGAAACACAGAGGTGGAAAAATTCAGCGTTGCAGTTTCGATTTGATCGATTTTCTTGGGAGGGGGAAGAAGGGGGGAAACCAAACGCGCTGAGTTTCTTTCTCGAACCTCGTGTCGCGTCCAAATCCACGAGGAAGTGGCAGAATCCTCGGATCAACGGTCGACCATGTGTTTGAAATACAGAGCCGGCGGTTCGACTCGCGAGAAACGTCGAAATCCCTACTCAAATACACACCTGTACCTCGGTGTTCTCACGCAGTGAAAAGACGGCGAGGTGGGGCACAGCAGGATGAAGGTTGGCGGTTCCATGTCCGATCAGTATTATTTTGTTCGTTGCGTTACACCCGTGTGCGAGGAACGATTCGCGGCTCCACTTTGAACAGAGAAGAGAAAGAGCTTGAAAGAAATTGGCGGAGTGTCGTCAAGAGTTTGAAGGAAAGATACGAAGAAGATCGATTCAAAGGTGAGGTTATCAAGTCATTTACAAAATAACTTCTGTCTCGGTAATTGGCAAAATGTATCAAGTTGGAACCGCGTCCACGGTTTTATAAAATTGTAAAATTATCGAGAGGAAATTTGCAACTCCGTGTCCATGCGGTGATTCGTTCTCTTCAAAAGAGAATCCTCGGGAACGAGGCAGAACGAAACGAAAATCGCGTGCCGAAAATTATCAAATATTCCCGATAGAAACGAACCTCAATCTCTCTAATGCGGGATTCGGTTACGGTGCTGAAATACAATATTTTCTGTGATTTGCGCGGTTGAATAGTTGGCGTTCCTCACGGCTGACGATATATCATTCAACTCGTAGAGGTACGTATTAAAATTGCCTGTTCGATGATGTTTATATTAATGTTTGATAATTTTATATTAATGTTTCGTGGTTTATTTGTTAGAATTACTCTGTAATTTCGCGGTACGATTATTCCACGACTGACGCAATATACATAGTATAATAATATTACATTTAATTTTCGATTAAAAAATTTATATATATTATAATATATATATAATTTATATATATATATATAATATTTATTCTATTTCTCATATATATTTCAATATTTATATTTAATTTGAATAAATTTTTTTCAATAAGTGAAAAATTAATTTAGAAAAAAAATTCCATTTGAATGTGGATTTAATCCAATTTTTAAATTTATATTACCATTTTCAATACCTTTTCTTTTTTTCCATTTTAGAAAAGATTATTATTTTTAATTTTTGATATCGAAGTCACTTTGTTTGTTCCTATAACTTTATATTTAAGATATTTAAATTTTTATTAATTAATATAATTAATGTAATTTTATTATTTTTATTTATAATATTAATTACATTAATTATAGAATGAGTAATATTTTAATTATATAATAAAAATTTAAATATTTTGAACTTTGTAAACTTACAGGAATTAATAGAGTAATTTCAATATCGAAAATGAAGGAAGTGAGAGAGAGAGAAAAGAAAAGAAAAAGTATGATTTCGTTCGTTCGCCGTGAAACGCAATTAACTCTTATCCGTTTGGCCGTGTTTGGCGTTCCCCTCATTACATTCCGTTAATTGCGAATTAGAATTTGCGTCACCGTCCGTCCAATGAAGAAATTGCAATAAACATCGAGGCCTCCGTCGTTCGTTCCTCGAACACGGGGAAAAAAATTATTGAGAAATTGTCGCGCGGATGAATCTTCCCCCTCCTCCTCCCTTCCCCGTTCGGAAAATATTCCGCTCGCAGAGAAATTCCAATCAGCGCGACTGAGACATCCTCCGTTCGACTGACGTTTCGTTATCTGTTTGCAATTCTTGTATCGACTGCCACTCGACGTATCGACCGTCGTCTTTCTCAGGGAGTCACGGTTACGAGACCAAAAGTCGATGAATTATTCGGGATTTCACCCTCGAAACTGTCGCCACGCATGATAAATTAACACGATAATTTGGAAATTACTTTTCACTGATTGGTAAAGCGCGAAAGAACATTTTAGGGGATTTTAAACGAAATTACACAACTACCAGTGGCGCGAGTCGAAATCGTTGGCCCGCTGTTGATTAAAATCTCGGAAATTCGGGGATCGTCGGTTCTTGGATCAAAGCATAAATCTGCTACGGCGGAGGAGGGTGCACGGTTGTTCCCGTGGCGGTTCGCCGGGATTACAATTTCGAAACGTCACGGGGAACGGGGAACTCGAAATAAATCCCCGTGTTAAGTCGTTCTATCGCAGAAACGACGCGCTAATCGACCAATAAATTGAGACCAATTGCAACGACCGCCATTCCAGTTTAATAGCGCCGATTTTTTTTTTACTCGGCGACAAAACTAATTCATTTCGTTTCGACGGATTTCTTTATTTCTTTTACTTCGATCGAGCAAGGTAACTAGGATCGTTTCGTTCGTGATTTTATTATTTATAAGCAACTTTTGATTTTGAATATTTTAAACGACAAGTTTTCAGAACTCGTTGTGTGGTATAATTTATTACATATAGATATATATTGCATAGAATTGCATTGAATTTATTCTAGTAGAATTTGTATAATTCTGTAAATCTACTACAATATATATTACATAATAAATTCATAGAATTATTCCTTATAGTAGAATTTTATATTAGAGATAGTAGAAATTATTCTTTATAGTAGAATTTATTTTTTACAGTAAATTTATTATATTGTTCATATAGATTTCTTTATATAGATTTATTACATTCTTCTATAGCATTCGAGGGAGACTATCGATATCCGTATCGATAGATATCGTCTTCTAATTTCGAGCTTCTCCGTCGGAACTCCGGGAAACGTGATAACTATGCAAATGGACGGAAAATGTTAGACGTAGTTCGGAACGTCGTTGTTGCTCCTCGAGGTTTCCTCTAAAACGGAGAACGTAATCGAATCATAAGCCGAGTTTCCAACATACTTAATAGCTTTTCTGTTTCTGCGGAATCCGGTTATGCTAATTCCCCTCTAATTTCTCGATAGTGGGACACGCGTATCTTGGCCTACGGACGACAAAATCGCTCCGACGCAAGGAGAGTTGGAAATAATTAGCGAGACCTCTTTGAACAAATTGATTCAGCAACGTCGACAGCGCGTTGTTTCGTGAATCTTTCGTTTGAAATCACGTTTCTCTCACGTTCTTTCGGGTAATTAATTAAATTTCACCGTCAAAGTTACTTTAATATTTTGTTACGAACGGTGATATTTTTCTTCTGTTTTTTTTTCTTAGGAAAATAAAGATCCAGTGTTCTCTTTTCGCTGTTAATATTCAAGGCAAGAGTATTTCGATTCCCAGCGCTATTAACCCTCAGTGTTCCCAAGTGATGGACGATCCTTCACGCTTTAGATACGTGCGCGCTCGGTAAAACAAACTCATGGTGGCCTCATGAACGCCGTACCGAAAGGATTAAAGAGCACCACGATCTCTGTTAATATCACATTAGTTCCTACCTCGTCGTGTTTTTCTTACAAAATTGCCCTTCTGCAACTCGTTTGCTGTAAATGTTTACTCAACCTTCAAATTCCTCGGTGTCTCTCTTGCTCTAGTTTGCCTAATGAAGATAATAGAGAAATATGGCGATCTCTTGAACACTGCTAGAAGGCTCATCCTTAGAAGACACAGGATGTTAAAAAAAAAAAAAAGAGGAAAAGAATGCTTCGAGTGAAATCTGCCTCGAGGCCAATTAGTCAAAAATAGTCGTTTCAAAGAGTCGAACAAAGTTTCCTCGTGCATCGACACGTGCATCGAGAATCGTTCCTTTCAAATACACATTCGCACCTCGCACGCTCGTTTCATTCGCTAGGTCAACGCACACAATTTATACTAACCGGTTGGAATGCTTTAATGGCAAGACCGGCAGTTAGACGCGTTTATAGAGACTGAAAATGTATCCAGTCCCAGAACGCGTGAAAGGAGCAAGGATACGGATCTTGAAGGACGTTCGTGCGTGCTCGGATAATCATACATCACGATATCAGACACGCTCGATACTGATCGTCTACGCGTGTCTAAGCGGATCCTATCTGATGTTTAACAATTGCTTCTATCTTTTTCCAATGGTACTAACTAGTCAGTTCAAGGTACACGCTGATTCTTAATTTTCGTCGTGTTAGTCACTTCTTCGATTGTATTTGAACAACAAAGGAAAGAAAAAAAAAAAAACGTGATTCTGTAAAACTTCAATTTGCGCGGTAAAATTTCTTTCGTGCTTTAGCCGATCGTTCATTTCAGAAGATGATTAAATGTGATAAAATATATTGCAGTAAATTTATAATCAGTAATGCCTCTCTTTTAAATTTATAATTATATCGTATTAAATTTGTAATTAGCAATTTTTATCTTTATTCACGAAAATTTCCCAGTTAATACCTATTTTAATTCCTATTTTTCCTTTTTCTTTATTTTCTAACTGAAGTGCAGATAAAATAATAATCTTTTTCGAAGGATAGCTCTTTTATATTTATATCGTATTAAATTTTTATCTTTATCCTCGAAAATTTCCCAGTTAATTCCTATTTTTCCTTTTTCTTTATTTTCTAACTGAAGTGCAGATAAAATAATAATCTTTTTCGAAGGATAGCTCTTTTATATTTATATCGTATTAAATTTTTATCTTTATCCTCGAAAATTTCCCAGTTAATTCCTATTTTTCCTTTTTCTTTATTTTCTAACTGAAGTGCAGATAAAATAATAATCTTTTTCGAAGGATAGCTCTTTTATATTTATAATTATATCGTATTAAATTTTTATCTTTATCTTCGAAAATTTCCCAGTTAATTCCTATTTTAATTCCTATTTTTCCTTTTTCTTTATTTTCTAACTGAAGTGCAAATAAAATAATAATTTTTTCGAAGGATAGCTCTTTTATATTTATAATTATATTAAATTTGTGATTAGTAATTTTTATCTTTATCCTCGAAAATTTCCCAGTTAATTCCTATTTTTTCTTTTCCTTTATTTTCTCACTGAAGTGCAGATAAAATAATAATTTTTTTCGATGGATAGCTGTCGTGTAAGCGTGGATAAATTTTATGAGAATTCCGGATCTGCTCGTAGATACGTAGTGAATAGAATCAGTCGGTGTTGGCCAGACACGCTACGCGCGAACGCGACGGAACTCGATAATGCGAACCTTTTATTCAAATGATCCGTTAATCGATTAGAGAGGAGTATGCCTTATGCAATATCTGTTAAAATTTCCAAGGCGATCGCTCACCTTGAAATCACCATCTAGAGTCACGCGAATCGTCGAGTTATCGATACAAACGATGCATATTCAACGACTTGAATGTTGCAATGCTGGAATAAACATTTTTATTCTCGACGATTATCGTATCACTCGAGATTCCGCGTTAAAAAAATTGTCCGCGACCGAATCGAATATTTTCAACTTGGCTCGAAACTTTTACTTTATTGGAAATTTCATTGCCTCTGTATCAATTTTATTTTCATACTTTGATTAAAAAAAAAATATATATTTCCCGATCTTTATCCTCCGTCTTTTTCAAATCGGTTCGAACAATAAACAACGTTCGGTCATAGTACATTTTTCGTGAAATTTTAATCAGAATTTCGCTCAACGCATCTTGAACATTACAAACTTTTTTTTCGTAATTGTCCGATATTGCTTTCTGAATTATGAATCGCGGCCGCTGATCCTGGAATTTTAATAAGATTATTATCAAGCAATTTCCATTATCGAGTATCTTAAGTCTTGCGGAAGACGAGAGAACGACGAAGAGCTAAAAATACACAGTTAAAGCCATGTTTTAAGAAGAGCTGGAGCTACAAAGAAATGTACGTTATTCTCCTTAACAGGTGAACCTTCAGCAATACCAGTTGTTTAACACGTTTCCGTGGCTCCTTTCGGTGAGCTTCATTTCTCTTCTTTCTCGTTCATTTTTCAATGTCCGCGAACTCCTCTCTCGATCTTTCTCGTCAATTATCGGACAAAAAGATTCCGTTTCGTTGAGCGTAAACCTCGAACGAATTGGATAAAAAATATCCACGTGTAACTACGTGGAAGAAACGTGTTTATCTTGCGTGAACTCTCCACTGTTCCTCCGCATCTTTCAAGTTCCGAAACTTGGATAACCCGTCGCGGACTTAGTTTGGTGGAAGGATAATTCACTTTCAACTCTTTGGAAGCTTTAATTCCAAGAGCTACAACTCTGACAGACGTTTGCGAGCTCGTTCGTTTAAATTTAAGACAAAGCCGATTGGTCGCGAGATGATCGAAATCAAAGTTCCAAAATTGTCCGCTCAATTTTGTTTCTTTTTCTTTTTCTATCTTTTTTTTCTTTTTTTTATCCACGGTTGACGGTTACAGATTGCGGAACAGGGTCGACAAAGTTAGGAAGCTAACCGTAAACCAACGTCCACGTTCACCGCGTTTGAACTCTCAACATCGTTGTGTTGCTCAAGCCCCTAACGAGGTAAAAGCATAAACCCATAATTCCTCGATGTAACATCTCTGATAGTACGAACAAACTACTACTTGTTCGCAGGATGTAGCAACTTCATCTTAATGATACACTGTGACGCGCGCACTTGTAACAGCGTCGAGTGGAACTTGCTTTATAATGAGGCACGCTCGATCATTTACCAAGATAAATTTCCTCCTTCGCCATTCATACTGAACGTCGGCTCCGCTTGCGCTACCCCTTCGTGTGTCTCGGGACAAAGCTATATAACGTATAGCCCCGTCAATGGGTACGTAAACAGGCTGGTTATCTCGCCGCCCTATTTCGCCGCGCTGTTTGTGTGTATGTGTGTCATTATCGATGGATAATTGGACGCTGTTGGTCGATGAAATTTACTTGAGACCCAGCCAGAATTTCAAAATTTCAACGCAGGATACTGAACTGTTTGCTTCACGTTGATTTTTGCCGCGAAAGAAAAGTCCCAGAGACATTAACGTAGTGACAACAAGATAGAGAAACTTTATAATAAAAATAGAGGCTACAATTTTATTTATATATCTTATGAAAAATTATTGAAATCTTTGAAGGTAGTTCTATTGTCAACAAAGCTGAGCCGAGAACGAGACACACTGGTTTCTGTCTTTTTAATTCTAACTAAACAAAAAATCATAAACTTATCTTTCGAAACAAATCTTTCGTTTCCTACCTTTTTCTTAGATGATATAATTTCCACTGTTTCTCGCTGTATTTAATATCTGTCGATTTCGATATGGATCAAAAATTATTCGGTTTGACAAACTTCTCAGTCGAGAAATCAAAGGAGCTCTAGATTTAATTTCGAACTATCTTCGTATCTTGCTCACTTTAACATAAAAATTCGCCCAAAAAACGAAAAACAATAAAAAAAAAAAAAAAAAAAAAAAAAAAAAAAAAGACAAAACTTAAACCATTTCCCAACTTGGCGAACACACGCAAGATGGCACAATTAGGATCATCCCAGTATGGTCGTAAATTTTTGTTGCAGGTCACGACGAAGAAGCTCGAAACGGCAATTATGAGATCGGAGTTACTTCCTGGTTGATCGTTGGCACGCGATTTCGCTCTTGGAGGATCGTTAGCCAGTGCTCGCTAGATAGCCAAGGGCATCGTATTACATCCTACAACGTGCTGTAGGTTCGTCGAGGACCCATTGATAACGCCGTCTCACCGCGGCGATATCGCGGCAATATTTCAATCAGGCTGCCAATAAATTTCATCATGCACCGTCGGACCCTCGGTGTATCGCTCGGGCAGTGACGTTTCCCTAGCGAGAGACGCATTTTTATGCGATGCCGCGCCAACGTCGAACGTGATTCCCTCCCACAAAAAAAAAAAAAAAAGAAAAAAGAAAAAAAGGAAAACGTGTTCGACGACAGGGGAGACACAGTGAAGGAGGGGGCGTAATTAAAATCGAGACGTGAATCGAATCATGACGTTGGACAAAACATTGGACGCGACGGGACAATTTGTGAAAGTGCGAACCGAGAGTGGCGGCTTCAGGCCCGGCGAACGATGGCGCATTACCAGGAACGTTCTGGTGATCGGTCTGGCGTTCATGGTGAATTTCACGGCGTTCATGGGGGCGACGAATCTGCAGAGCTCGATCAACGCCGACGGTTCGTTGGGCACGTTCACGCTGGCCTCCATTTACGGCAGCCTGATCTTCAGCAACATCTTCCTGCCGACTTTGATCATAAGGTGAGGAGAACGCTCTCTTCGAATTTCTTTTTTTTTCTTGCAGAATGTTTACGATGTTGATTTAATGAATTTTTTGCACGAGTATCGTCGACTCAGACAAGACAGTTGGCCAGATAATCCGGATAATCGCTAGAACTGAAACACTGAGCTGAATAATTTTTATATTTCATAAAAGGAAAAAAAAGAGAGAAAGAAGAAATCAATTCCGAATGTTAATGCGTGGAGTTGCAAAAAATTTTTTAAAAAGTGCACAGAGACAGAAGGAAATATGTATGAAATAACCAAAATAAATTGTTCGTTGTAATGCTCGGAGACCAACGAAATGGAAACGAATTTCTACCCAACGAAAAAAACATACGCATATGTATCTGCGTAAACGTTCATTTTTTAATGTGAGAAGACAATTTTCCATTTTGACAGAAGACATTTTTCTTTCTTTCTGATGCACCAATTAAAAAACTGTACGTAATCTTTCTTCAGACGCTTCCATCTACAGACAGAGTTCCGTTAAAGTAAAATTTCACTATGAACGGATACTGTGAAATGAAAGGAGGATTTGAATAAATTGAACATTTATTAATTGAACATGAATTAAGTCGTTTAAGAAATGAATATTTGCGGACAATTCTTTCGCGAATTATGAGAATGAAACGGTATTTAGATATCGTGTACCACGGGTAGTGTTATTCGGATCACGTTCTTTACTTTTTTATGGCAGAGCAATTTGAGAGTGCTTTTAATCAATCCCCAATTACCGAACTTGTTCTGCTTTTCATTTTGATTTTCGGACGATTGATGCCTTCGAAAATATTGCAATTGGTCAATTCTACCATCGATTTTTTACCCGAAAATCCCGCAAATTTTAAAAACTGACGTATCGCAGAATCTAACTGGCTATTTCACTAAATGATGTCGAAATAAAAATGATAAATCACAGACCGGCAGTAAAACAGTTCGCAACGGTGTCCTCGAATCCGTGAGAAATTTCGATGAAAATAATCTTGGACGACTCTGATGAAACTTTCAACAGATCGATATCGAAAGGATATTCAATCATCTCGAGGAATACTCAATCGCAATTCCTCGACAAGGAGGTAATCTCGACGAACTTTGAAGACAGTTGTTACAACCGAGTCCTCGGCAAATACTAGAGGATTCTCTTTCTCTCTCTTTCTTTCGACATTTAATAAAGTTTCCTCGACAAAGCGCTTTAAATCAATAAAGGTTATCCGCGTAGAGAATTCAGACCGCTTGGTAATTAAAAATTATCGATCAGCCAACGTTTGCGGCAAGACACCGCGAGATATCTCGAATCCGCGTCTTGTAATTTCTCGGTTGTAACAATCGTTCGAAGCGTTTCCAGCGGGGCGTCGTTTATTACTCACGACGTTCCATCAGCGAATCCGAGTCGGCGACTACAGTTCTAACCCCCGAGGGATAAAGTGAATCCGCGCGCGCGCGCGCGCGTGTGTATGTGTTTCATACGTCGCGACTGAGAATGATGTAATTCTGCGCTGGATTTCGAAAACTGTGTCTGGGAAATTGCACGGGTAATATTTGCCTAGAGTCCAGTTTGTATGTTAAACTTTTTATGTTAAAATAGACATCTGCAATTTGACGTATTTAAATGAAATTTAATCTCGAGGCTATTAGAAACCATTGGTTTTGAATAAGATAACGAAAGAACGATAATCTTAGTAATTTTCTTGTAAAGTCCCGAGCAATTTCTCAATTGTAAAAAATTTGCCTAGTATTCATTTTTTTTTTATGTTAAAATAAATATCTGCACTTTGACGTGTTTAAATGAAATTTAATCTCGGGACTATTGAAAATCATTGCTTTTGAATAAAATAACGAAGAAACGACAATCTTAATAATTTTCTTGCAAAGTCCCCAGCAATTTCTCAGTTGTA